CTGGTCTTCCTGCCTCTGCCTCGCCAGTGCTGTGGTTACAGATACCTGGTTTAGTGACAGCGACTTGGATTGTCTTCACTGTTGTGTTCTTAGTTCCTACCACATGCTAGTGCTTCTTAACTGTTTGTATTAGATGCATGTGCGTACGTATGCCTGTGATGGCAAGCGTCCATGGGTGTGGGGGCATCTCAAATGCTGGGTAAGAGTGTTCTTGGCCAGGCATATGCACGCAGGGATCTGAGGCCATCTGACAACGTGGAGCAGGGAGGAGGTGGCTGACTCAGGGGGCCCCTCCACCTGTCTAAGCCCAGGCTTCCTCTGTGGCCCAGATCTTCCTGTGGCTTGGGGAAGCTGCAGGTGGGTGGAAGGAAGCCTTGGCCTGGGGCCACGAGTACCTGAGGACTCATCCAGCGGGAAGGAGCCTGGACACACCCATCGCGCTGGTCAAGCAGGGCTATGAGCCTGCCACCTTCACCGGGTGGTTTGCCAGCTGGGACCCCTACAAGTGGACGGTGAGGCTTCACACCGGAGGGTCTTCATCCGGGGTGGGGCGGGGGCTGTTCCAGGCCCTCCTGGGCTGAGGGCCTCCCATGAGTCGGGGAAAGGGGGGGGACTGAACTTGTCTGGGTTTCCGGGAGCTCCTTCCCTTGCCAGTCCTGATAACAGCCCCGACTCCTGCCCCCAGAACAACCAGTCTTATGAGGAGGTGGTGGAGGGAAGCCTGCGACCAGGGGCCGCCATCTCTGAGATAACAGCAGTAAGTGCTGGGCAGTTACCCTGGCAGCCCCACATAGTGGTCTGGGTTCACATGGTCCAGAGGTGGAGGGGCCAGGGGTTCAGTGTGGTCTTTAGCGGATGGCTGTCCTCCATCTTCCAGACCACGAGTCTTCTCTCTGGACAGGAAGTACATAACTTCCAGCTAACTCGACGGCCGAGTGATAACAAGGCAGGTCCCTCGACCCTACCGGCCTCCAAGGGTTCCCAGGATTGCCTGGAGAAAGATCTGGAGCTGGGCCCCAGCGCTGATGGCAAGGACCCCAGCATAAGCAGATCCACCGGCAGCTGCTGCAGCTCAGTGGCCAATGGGAGCCTGCCCCGGGAGAGGCTGATGCACCAGGCCGTGGAGGACCCGCCACAGGGTGTGGACCCTGCCCGCAAGGAGGTGGGTACCAATGCTGCTGTTCTGGGCACTGGAGGATCCCAGGGCACCCTGCCCCCAGAGTGGCCACAAAAGCCAGGCAGTGAGCAGACTGGAGAAGGGGAGAGTGGATGACGCCTCTGGGTGGACAGGAACTTGGACTCCAGTGACTCCCATCCCCCCCAGTTCTACCTCTCAGACTCTGACTTCCAAGACATCTTTGGGAAATCCAAGGAGGAGTTCTACAGCATGGCCAAGTGGAAGCAGCAGCAAGAGAAAAAGAAGCTGGGCTTCTTCTGAGCTGGGGAACCCTGCTCGTCACCCCGAGTCTCCTCCTGGAATACCCACCCCCCAATAAAAGCCAGTGGTGTGTAAGGTGTGGCCCGTGTGCCTTCAAGCTGCACCGTCTGGTGGAGCCCTCTTCTCAGCAGCTGGGCCCCGTGGCACTGTGGGCTAAACCCTCCTCCGTGGAAAGGATTCCTTCAGACTGCTCACTCCAAATGACCCCATGATGGTGGGAAGGGTGAGGTCTGGAGGGCTTCTCTAGCGTCTACGTAAAAAGACTATTAGGCTTTACCTGGTGACTTTTATAAAAACTCACAACCTAAAGACAGCTAGAGGGTATGGAGAGGGCTTCAGTGTTCCTCCTAACGGAAGTGTGGACCACTCCGGGCACTGGACCGCTCTTGGGTCCCCTGAGAGGCAGAAGCACAGGTGATGTGTTAGAGCTCCATGAAGGCAGGTCAGGGCCTCAAGCTCTGCACCGGAAGTCGGTGCGACAATGCCAGTCTTGCCCGAGGTGTGGATCCAGCTGGGCCCAGTCAGGGTGGACCTCACCCAGTCTCCAGGTTTAGTCCTGGATGGAGATCTTCACAAAGAGCGTGGCTGATGGATGATGGTCTCCGTTCTTAGACAAGAGGTGGATGTGGCGGTACCCTGGTGGGAAGGACAGCTCTGGTCACTGGGAGAGGATACTCAAGGCATTGTGAGATGTAGGCTAAGAGAAGCCAGGCCCTGCCCACTGTTCCTGGCTGGCCCCTTCCCTCCAACACTCACCCTGCTTGAGGCTGTTCCAGGGGATAGTACTCTGGCCAATGAAGTCATTCTTAGAGGAGGCATCATAGTCCTCCACTACGAAGCGTACGAGGGCAAGGTCGGGCACTGCTACCTCAAACTCAAACTCTGTGTCCCACCACGGGTTGAAACCTAGAAGGACCAACACCATATCAATAGCAAGGCCACCAGAACCAGCGGCCTGGCCCAACCAGCCAGTGCATACTATACCATTATTAGTAATAACTGTGGTCTGATGGCTGGCCACGTCCCGGGCCACACCGTGGATCTCCACTATCACCTTGGGGTCCACGATTGAATTCTTACTCTTGTTGACTTTTGGTAGCTGCTGTCCAGAGATGATCTAAGGAAATGTGGGGACAATGAGCATTCAGGGATGGTAGTGAGCAGCAGGGATCCCCAACGGCATCTGTCCCTTCTGTGTCTGGCCATACCCGGACACGGAGCCTCTTCCGAGCCCACCAGGGCCCCTGAGTCAGGGCACGTGAGCTGAAGGTGGTGTTGGGGTCTCTCAGGAAGGCAGGTTTCAGCACATACCCACAGGCTCCATTGTCCTGGAAGCGGCCCAGGTAGACATCCATTTCCGGCCCAGGGGTTTGGAAGTTCAGAGCCACTACAGGTGGATGAGAGCAGTCACAAGCTGTGGGCTGGCCCCAAAGTCCTAGAGCCCAGCCTGCTCAGAGTGCACTATAGTCCAGGTTCCTATGTGAGTTGGAGGCAGGATCCAATGACGTTCCAGTGTCTCCTGCCTTCCCATCATCCTAACTGGCCCACCACACTGACCACATGTTCTGTTTATTTGTGTGTGTGTAATAGACATGTGCTCCCGTGAGTGTGTGCATGTGTTATTCATACTTGTGTACCTGTGTGGAGGCCAGAGGCCAATGTCTGGCATCTTTCTCATTGCTCTTTACTATTTTTTGAGACAGAGTCTCCACTGAACCCAGGGATCACCAATTCATGTGGGCGGGTTGGCCATGAGCTCCAGAGCCCGGCCTCCTCCCTCAGTGCTGAGGTTACAGATGTGGGTCATCACTGCCGTCCTTTCACATGGGTAGGAATCCCAACGCAGGACCTCATGCTTGAATGGCAGACACTTTGCTGACTGAGTCGTCTCCCCAGCCTGTTTTGTTGGGTTTTGAGGCAGGGTCTCATGTAACCCAGGCTGGCCCGGAACCCACTATGTAGCCAAGGAAGACCCTGAGCTCCTAAACCCACCCACCCTACCCCATCCCTGCCTCCACCTCGAGAAGGTGTTGAGATGACAGGTGTGATACCACCCCTGTCCTCCGCAGTGCAGAGGGTTGAACCTAGGACTTCATGCATGCCAGGCAAGCCCTCTAACGGCGAGCTACATGTTCCACTCCTGATGGCGAAATTCAAAGGGCTGGAGTGCACACACCAGGCACAGACTTGCTGGCTGGGCAATTTCCACGCTCGGCTCTTGGCCTGCACCTAACCCTTCTCAGGTGCGCAGACTTCCCCTGTGACCTCCAGGGCTGGAGGCCCCTGGACATGAAGGCCAGGTGCCCTGTCTACCCCCCCCTTCATCCCAGGCGGCCCGTACCAATTTGACAGCCCCCATTCCACATCTCCACGGGACTGTAGTTGGAGGAATCTGTTCTTCTCCCAGCTGGATAGATCCTGCTCAGGTGGTTCACGTTATGGCGGACAAAACTGTTTCCTGAGAATAGGTGGGGTCAAGTCAGCAGTGAAGGCCTTGGTGGGCCGAAGACACACCTACCTACCCCACCCCACCCCACCTCACCTCGCCAGTTCTGCCCAGACATAAAGCAGGGAGTGCCAACTTGGGACCCCTGCAAGGGTGGAGGACAGGCCCAGTCTTGACCAGTCGAGACGGCCAGGATCAGATGCCTGCAAGGACAGGGGCTCACCTGATTCTTGCAGCAGCCGGAGGGCACGGTTCTCGGAGAAGGAAGCCATCTCATAGAATGCCTGCTCGGAGGTGCTAGGATTGGAGAAGCCCCCGAAGTGGACACTCTTGCAGTAAATGACCAGGTCGGAGAGCTCCGGCACCAGCTTCAGCTTATCCTCCTGGAGGCCACGGGGAGGCCCAGGTTAGAGCCAGAGGGTAGGACAAGGTGGCCACTGAGCGCCAGAAACCCAGACAACAGAGAGAGAGGACAGACAGAGAGAGGGGCAGAAGGTCTGAATGGCAGCCACAGAAAAACTAAGATGAGGCAACTGTCCAGTGGGCAACGGGAGTGGGAGGGACCCGGGGCCACCCCACCGCCACGGCGTCCCCTAGAACCTTGGGCTTCTGCTGCACTTGGCTCCGAACAGCCTCGTCCTCCATTTCAGCGGCCTCGTCTTCGTCAGACACATCAGTGGCCTCAGGCCCGTCTTCCCCTCCCGCAGGCAGCAGCCCTCCAAACTTCTTCCCTTTCAGCAGGATCTTGCCCCTCAGTTGCTGGGGAGATAGGGCTGAGTGGTTAAGACCCCTCTAGGCCTCCCAGCCAAGTTCCCCGCCTTGGTTACCCACTCTGTACCTCGGGGGAAGGCAGGCTCGTGGTAACCCCCTCCAGAGGCCGGTCCAGCAGCAGGGGCCCCAGGATGGCCTTCAGGTGACGGGCCATCACTCTCTGCTGCTCCAGGCTGCAGTGGTTCTCCAGGGACAGGATGACTGGGTAGGGGGACGCCTAAAAGCCCCAAGATGAGTTAGAAGGGACTGTCCACCCCGATCCTCTCCTCACTCCCACGGGCACGCCCCACCTTGAAGGCATAGTCCCGGATGGCCCTGAGCACGTCGCAGAAGAGGATCTTAGATGTAAAAGTGTAGCCGTGGTAGATGACGGGTTCCTGACCGGGACCGTCCCAGCAGTCCAGTTCCAGGCAGCGGCAGCCTTTGCACAGAGCCCTGCAGGGAGCAGCGACGGCTAGGCTAGGACCCTCCAGGTCCTGTCGGGGGGAGGGGTGTCCCACCCCGACTCGCCCCTGACAGTTTCACCCCTGGCCCGCACCGGATGTAGGCCTCTGTGCTGCTGGGCCCTGTGAGCTGATCTTCCAGCAGGTAGGTGTTGTGGGAAGAGGACACTAGGTAGTGGCTGAGTGGCTGGTCCATGTCCTGGTAGACACGGCGGTGGGCCAGGCTGAAGGCGCTGCCATCGGCAGAGAGCAAGTACATGAGGAAGCCATCCTTGGTCATCTGCCGCTGTGCCTTGGCTAGGTAGGAAGAAGCCACCATTTCCAGTCAGAACTAGATGCCTACCGCGGAGGAAAGGAAAGTCTTTTCTCCACTCTGCCTGCCCACCCACCTTCTGCTAGTCCCCTGCAGCTCTGGGGAGCAGATGTCCTGGTCTCCCAGGGAGGCTTTGGTTACAGTGTGGTGAGGCCCTGTCCTTTTCCTTCCTCCCCGTCTGAAAGGCTCAACGCTGGGTGACATCGCCTCCGAGTCCTTACCCAAGCACTCGCCACTGAGCTACACAGCCAGACCTCCGTTAACTCTGTGCTGTGAGGCTGGGTCTCACTAAGCTGACAGGCTGGCCTGGAAGTAGTGAGCCGCGCTCTGTCTCCCCTAGGTCATGTCTCAAAGCTGCATCCAGAACAGACACAAAGAAGGAAGTAACAACAGCACACTGTCTTCACCAGCCACTTCTTTCTACGTCTTGGGGCAGGGACACTCAGAGCCCCTTGAAGAAAGAACTGAAGGGAAGTGAGGCCCAGACAGGGCAAACACTGGCGCTCTCTCTCCCATGCGCCTGCTTACACAGGACGGCCACACACTGATCAGCAGCCCTGGGGCTGGCTCCCTCCAGCATGCCTGTCTGTCTGTCTGCAGTTCGATCACAGTCCCCCAGCCATGTGTCTCTGGCATGGCCGGGCCCTCACCAGTCTCACTGGGCTCGTAGCGCTCAATGAGGGAGAGGGCCAGTGCTGGCCCTGCCGCCTCCTCCCGCTGCTGATGCTGCAGAAACGTGACTAGCTTCTCCACTGACAGGGTCTCCGAGGATCCCGCAGCCTCTGCAAAGACGCGGTCGATCTCTGCCCGCTTGGTCAGCATCTTGTAGAAGGTCTCGATCTCCTCATCCTCCAGCGAGTCTGTCTGGGAGTGGTCACATTCCTGTAAAGGCAGCACAGCCCATGGGCTCAGACCCAGCCACAGGCCAGGCCCCGGGCCCCACGGCCACTCCAGCCAGCTCACCCTGAAGATCTTCCTGGCATAGCTGTCGTCCACCTGTATGTTGAGTTCCTTCAGGAAGTCCTTCAGCTCCTTGAAGTTCATCTTGTTGTCCTTGTTTTTATCAGCCTTTCGCAGGCAGGAGTGAATCCAGCTGGGAAGCCGTCAGGAAAACACACAGCATTCTGATGCCCACAGCATCCCGGCCATGTGAAGCCTGTGGAGCCTGTGGAGCCGTGCCCCGCAGGCTGGAGGACCAGGGAGCAGGGGAGGGCCCTGGAGGCCGTCCCTATAGGGTCCTTTCCCTTCTTCTCCTGCTTGGTGGTCGGTTTGGGGCTGAACTCAGCGTCTTACAGAGCGCTCCACCCCAGTCCTCCCGACTTTGTATTTGAAGTCAGGAGCGCTCTAAATGACCCCGATCAACCCTAAACTCACTCTTTAGTTCAGTGAGGTCTTGAACTTGTGATCCTCCTGCCTCAGCTTCCTGAGTAGCACGGATTACAGGACAGTACCACCAGGCCCAGCTAGAGGTCTTTTTCTGTTTGCTCATTCCGACACCTGATGACGTTTGAAACTGTCTACGATGAAAAGGCTCACTGTAGACAATCTAGACTACAGAGAAGGACACCAGTCGAGAACGCCCCCACCGGATGGCACGTCTCTCACAGTGCCAATGTCAGCACCAACGATGTTATCACTGTGAAGCGCATCTTCCAGTTTCTCAAACCATCCACCAACCAGCCTCCGGTACTTGAGTCTTACTGTACAGAAACACCAGTTTCCAGCCACTGATCAGAAAGTGGAGATCTCCCACACAAACCAAAGCCTGGACCAAGTCATCATGACTGGGACATCCTGGCCCATCCTACCTCATCCTCCTTTTCTCCCTTCAGACTCTTGAGGACCTGGGGCGGGGGAGGGGAGGCTCCTAGCACAGTCCTCAGAATCCTCACTGAGTCAAACAAAGATAATGAACTTCATGGGTGTGTTCATAAAAAGGACAATGGGATTTTTGAAGAGATCATAAAGGAAACAACAGCATAACCAGCATAAGTGATGCTATAGAACTATAAAAACAATCTAAGTACCAGGCAGCACACCCTGGAACCTCAGCACTCCGAAGCTTGAGGTAGAAGAATCAGAAGGTCTAGGTCATCCTTAGCTAGACAGCCAATGGCTACGGGCCGCAGGAATATGTTATAAGAACTCAGCTGGTTATGGCAAAGCCACTACCTGAAGGGATCAATTCCTTCAGAGGAAGCCAAATTCCAAGGAGCTTTTGGTGTTATTTGGCTTGTTATATATCAGTTGTCTTCTGTTATGAAAATCATGTATGCCTTCATAGCTTTCCCAATAGATTTTTTTCCTAAGAATTGCTAACAGTGTGGATTGATCACTATTTGGACATACACATTCGAGGTATTTGGAGAACAACCTCAGGAAAGACTTCCTTCCCTCAGGCTCATCCGTTTCTTCTCCTTTTGCCTCTGGAAACAGATATCTCCATTAGCCACATTCAAGGACTAACAGGAATAACAGTCCAAACCACCACATAATAAGTCTCCTGAAATTGAGGTACATTCCACAGGGAGACACCGCCTAGGTCAGGTAGACCTTAAGGAACAGCTTCAAACAATTTAGTTTCTACTCTCCATTCCTAACAGCCTCACTAACTTTATAGACCTCTAACTCCTTACCTAACCACTTCCAGGAATTTTTAGATAACCTTCTGTGCTGACAGCTATGCTCAGCCAGAACCCCAGTTCAAGCCTCCCTGTAATTATCATCATTGACCATCATTGACCAGCCAGCTCCATCCCCAGACAGAAGAAAGTACCTTATCAGAGATAACCTCTGTACTCTCTAAGAACAGACTTAAGCATCCAGACTACCTGTTTGAGAAGGCCTGGCGGATGTGCTAATAAAGCTTAACTTCCTCCTTTCCAAAGTCTTATCTCTAGTTTTAGATCTACTCTTAACTATGAACTCAGAACTAAAGGGTTCAAACTTACAGATACATCCAGCTGTGATGGAAGTTGCCCAGCGACGGAACACACTCGCCAGAAACAGCAGGAGCAGAGATAGCATGGAGAGATAAGGGCCAAAGGGATAAAAGGGCAGTTTTATTTTCAGAGAAGAACTTAGAGGTATAAGGAGATGGAGAGGAAGAGAGGACTGGAGAACTTGAGGACGGAGAACTGAGAGGGAGAAGGAAATTTTTGACTAGAGAACCTGAGTATGAGACGGAGAAGAGAAAAGAGAATGGAAGAACTAGATGGGAAGAACTAGATTGAAGGGCTAGAAGAGAGTACTAGAGGAACAAGATAGAAGATGAGGAAGAGCCAGATGGGGAAGAACAAGATGAGAGAGAAGGCGATGGGAGAGGAGCTGATATGGGAAAGAACTAGATGGATGAGAACCTAGATGGGGCAGAACTAAGATGAGAGAATTAAGATAGAACTTAGAGGGGACAGCAGATACATGCAGAGAGAAATCAGGCAAGAAAGGAGCTGGGCTTGAGAGCAGGATAGAAGCTATGTAGAGAGAGAACTGACACAGAATAATAAAGTGTATGGACTAAGGAGTTTCATGTACATAGATTCATTTCTTTTCATCAAAGGAAAAATTATCAGCTGGTTGTAGATTCTTCCCAGACCCTGGGAGGGAACTATTGAGGGGCTGGACCCCCTTAGTCCCTGATAGCCAATTCCACCGTAGCCTGGGCCACATGAGACTCTGTCTTAAAACAGACAAACCAAAACCAACAACTATAAAAACCTAAGAAATGATGGGCGGTGGTGCACATCTTTAATCCCAGCACTCGGGAGGCAGAGGCAGAGGCAGGTGGATCTCCAAGTATGAGGCCAGCCTGGTCTACAGAGTGAGTTCCAGGTCAGCCAAAGCTATACAGAGAAACCCTGTCTCAAAAAACCCCAAAATAATAGTAATAATAATAATAATAATAATAATAATAATAATAATAATAATAAAAATCTAAGAAGCAATTAACTTATAATAGCATCCAAATTATTAAAGTTATTTGAAATTATTTTTAAAGTATAAAACTTAAAATTCTGGGGCTGGAGAAATGGCTTAGAGGTTAAGAGCACCGACTGCTCTTCCAGAGGTCCTGAGTTCAATTCCCAGCAACCACGTGGTGGCTCACAACTATCTGTAATAAGGTCTGGTGCCCTCTTCTGGTCATACATGCTGTATACATAATAAATAAATAAATCTTTAAAACAAAAAAAAAAAAAAACTTAAAATTCTGAAAGCCACAAGACATTATTAAGAGAAATGGAAAAAGACGCTAGAGGCTGGAGCGATGGTCGGCACACTAGAGATTGTTTGCTGTTCTTGCAGAGGACCAGGCCTAGAATCCTAGCATCCTCCAGATGGCTTGCAACCACCTATAACCACATCTCTAGGGGCACTACACACGTGTACACACACACACACACACACACACACACACACACACACACACACACAGAGTAAATCTTCAACAATGGAAAAAAGAATAATCAAATGTAAAGACATCTATCCATGTTCATGGATCAGAAGACATATTTTCCTGCTGAGAAGTCTCCAAATTGATCAAGATCCCTATCAAATGATGTTGGTTTCTTTGCAAGAAATTGACAAATTGATCTTAAAATACATTCAGGAGGCCAGGGGCCCCAGACCGGCCAAACCAATCTTGCAAAACAAAAAACAGACTCGGACAATTCACACTTCCTGATTATGAAGCTGACTACAAAGTTAAAGGGGCTGAAAGAGCGTGGTGCAAGCATAGTGTACGAAAGGACAGACAAACAGACAAATGGAAGAGAACTAAGTCCAGAATACATCCATTTTCACAGTCGGTGCACAATTCAATGGGAAGATTCAACAGAATAATGTTTTCAGGCCTATGAGGGCACAGCAGGCAAAGGTCCCCAATAACTGAGTTGATCCCCAGGACCCTATGACAGAAGAAGAGAATCAGCTCCTGCAAGTTATCCCCTGACCTCCACACACACTAGATGGCAAGTGTGCAAACACACACAATAAATAAGTAATGCAATAAAAAATAATTATGAAAAATAAGTCTCAACAGATAGTACTGGAACAGCTGCATATCCAAATACAAAAAGAAAAAAAAATAGATTTCCTACCTCATGCCACACACAAAAGAACAGAACATCAATCAGAGATTGCTTCACACCCAAGACAGTGTCTATAGCAAAAGAGAAAGACTGAAAACTAATGCTGCCACTGATGGAAAAATGGAACCCCTCCCACACTGCAGGGGGGTCTGAACTGTTGGAGTTTCTTTGGAAAATAGTTGGGCAGGTTTTCAAAAAATTAAGCATGGAGCTGGAGAGAATGTTTAGAGGACCTGAGTTCAGTTCCCAGCACCTACATGGGGCTTTTCACAACGGCTTGTAACTGAGCTCCAGGGGATGCGGTGTCCTCTTCTGACCTCTGGCCATTGCACACACATGGACATACATGCACACGCTATGTGTCTGTCTGCCTTGTCTTCTGAGACAAGATCCCTCACTGGCCTGGAACTCACTTTTTAGTCTAGGAAGACTCAGGGATCTGCCTGTCTCTGCCATGCAGTGCTGAGATTACAGGTACAGACACCGTATATGGTGCGCGTGTGTGTGGGGGGGTGCGTGCGTGTGCATGTGTGCGTGTGTGTGCATGTGTGCATGCGTGTGTGTGTGTGTGTGTGTGTGTGTGTGTGTGTGTGTGTGTGTGTGTGTGTGTACGGGTAACCCTCAGGGTTCAGAGGCATCAGGTTCCCTGGAGCTAAAACTACAGACTGTTGTGAGTTAGCTGAACCTCCTGGGTGCTGGGAACAGAACTTGGGTCCTCTGGAAGAGCAGTACAAGCTCTTAAACGCTGAGCCATCTCTCCAGCCCACTCCTGGTCTTTCACCTGTGTGCCGGACTCAAATTCAGGTCTTTATGTTTGCGTGGCAAGTTCTTAACTGACTGAGCCATTGCCCCAGCCCTAGGTTCAACACTTGGGTTGATTTTATGGTATGTGAACTATCTCTCCATAAAACTGTCATAAAAAGGGGAGCTGCAGGGCATTGTGGGACAGACCTGTGATCTCAGCACACAAGAGGCAGGAGGATCACAAGTTCCAGCCCAGAATCTGCCTCAGGTAAACAAACAAAAGTTGGAGCTGGTTCCACCCTTATCTCATGTGTGCCGGAAGCAGGATCACCGGACTGGACTGAGTTACCGTCTTCAGCTCACTGGCTGATCTGAACACTGGGCTCACAGTAACACTCCTGAAAGCATGGCTCAGGAGAGTGCCACAGCCTTCCAACTCCTAGAGTGCAGTAACCCCGGAGAACATGCCTACACCACCCCACCTCTCACTGGAGTGACTCCCCAGTCACCTACCTCCACGCTGCTTACAGAGAGAACCAGGGAGACACACAGTTCCTGGCCCTGGGTCAGAAGACCTTTCCCTTCTGCCACAGACTGAAACATGAATCCCTAAAATTCCCAGTTGAAACAGCAACCCCTAGATGATTTCAGAGATGGGAGTCTCTGGGTTAGATGAGGATATGAAGGTGGAGCCTTGACCCCAGGGTTACTGCCTGTGAAGGGAGCTTTCTCTGTGCTCATGACAGGACACAGTGAGGAGGCAGCCACCTGCAAACAAGGGAGGAAGCTCTCACCAGAGCTAACCAGGCTGGTACCTGAAGGAATAAACTAGTGTCGTAAAAGCCGCTCAGTCTGTGTGGCGCTCCATGTCATTGCCGGCTTGCCTGGATTTGGGGGACGCCTCTGGGGGCGTCTTTGAGGGAGTGTCAGGAGTTTAAATGAGAGACATGGGTCCCAGCACTCCTTAGAGTCCCAGGTTGAATAAGAAAGGAAAAGGAGCTGAGCTGAGGGCAGTGCCTGTCTCCTTCTCTCCGCTTCCCGACTGCAGACACAGTGACTGTCTGCCTTGTGCCTCTTCCACCATGATGGACGGCATCTCTCAAACCGGAATAATTTTCCCTTCCTCTGGTCTTTTGTTACGGCGGCACAAAACTGACCCAAACGCATTCCAAACCCAGCCAGGACCCACTGCCCCCAAGAGGATACTGCTGCAGCTTCTGCCGCTGGTTCATGGAGCCGGAGTGATGGATGACCTTGCCCAGGCCCTGCACCCAGTGCTGGGCGTCAGCTGACGACGGGGCGATGAGGTCTAGTGTGTTGCGCTGGTCCTTGAAGACGATGGAGAAGCAGCGGTCCTCAGGTATGTCGCGGGCAAACTTCTCCAGGCCTTCGGTGCGGTGCCCCATCCGTACCTCCTGAATGTCCTCGATGGAGACTGCGGGGGACGGACAAGGGACAGCAGGACGGACTGTGAGATAAGTGACTGTCTCTGATGCAGCCACGGCCACGGGGGTGAGGGGCATGGCTACTGTCACAGCCAGACTGGGGGGCTCAGACTGAGGGTCCAAGGAGGAGGGCAGAGTTGTGAGATGAGGAGAAAGAGGACACAGCACAGGCAGGACACAGGACAGCCAACAGTGGCCGAGCGGGGACACACAGGGAGACACGGGGCAGAAATCTTAGGACAGGAAGGGCAGCTAGGACCTAGGTCCGGGGTCACAGTAATGAAGGAATCATAGCAGGAACAGGCTTCTGAGGGTGAGACCATTCCAGAGCCTGGCACCTGGGATGGAGAGGTCACACACCCTCCAGGCCACACTGGACTTTGGGGCCCCACAGCTACGAGAGCCTCCTGGCCCCTCTACTTAGAAGATGGGTGGCCACACTTGGTCAGTCATGGACCTGAGACAGAGAGAAAAGTGGTGTATTTACCCTGTGTGTGACTACATGAGTTCTGGCTTCAGGGAGCCCCTTGGCAGAAGGGTGTGGAAAAACCCTACCTTTCAGGTTCCCAAGAAGCAGAGTAGAGGCCAGTCTGCATCGCTGAGAAGAGCTGGGCAGGGGGCGATAAGGAGGCAGAGTTCTGTCCTCCTGGGCCTGTCTCAGCTTATGGAAAGGCTGAGCTCTGCATTAGAGCCCCCATACTGAGGGATCCCAGACCCAGGAGGCTCAGCAGAAAAAAGCAGGAAAGAAGAGGGGGGCCTTCCCAGAAGGCTAGACATGGTGGGTTCATCACGTTCTCTTGAGGTCTGCGAGATTAAATCATTCTGCCCTTAGGAGGCTGGAGAGGACCCCCTTCTATCACAGCCAGTCTTCCAAACTTCAGGAACAAACAAGACCTTATATGCTACCATCCCAGGCTGCCATCCCAATATACCCACCCCAGCCTCACCGTCATGGCTTATGCTGAGCCTCCCCACACAGGACTGCCCCGCCACATTCTATCTTTAGCCGTTCTGGGTCCTAGAATGGGCCTATCTGTAAATTGTCATGTCCCTCCCAAACTCCTCCTACCCCGAGGCCCCAGGGGCCTTTCAGACACCTACAGGACCACATGTATGATGTGCTTTGCCTGGGTCATAAACGCTGAACAGTGGGACACGTGACCCCTGCACCATCTGGGATGCAGAGCATATCCTTGGGATGCAGAGCATATCCCTGGGATGCAGAGCATATCCCTGGTTAATCCTTCTTTGCCCCACTAGGGAGCTGAGCCACCCTGGGCCAGGAAAGAAAACAGGAAGCCTGGGCCATGGAGCCCCAGGCCCACGCCTCCACCGGCCCCTGAGAGAAAGGCCAGCTGCCTTCACCGCTGATAACATTCCTGGGAACAAAGGGTGGGCAGTGAGGAGGCACTGGGGAGACTTAGCACTAGACAGAGAAATGGGAGAATGTGCTACTCCTCCATCATCGGGACTCAGTTTCCCCAGGGGTAAGGTGCCACTGAGGACAAGAATCTCAACCTGGACTGGGAAAAACAAGTACAAACAAGGCCTGCTAAGCAGGGACCTGTGGCGGCCATCGGAGCTAGAAGCAAGCCTCTTAGAGTGCCCCTGGATCTGTCCCCAGGCTCCTGCGAGCCTGAGCGACAGCTGCTGTTGGAAGGGCATTGGGTGGGGTCATCTCTTCTTCCTGCCCCTTCCCCATCCCTCTCCAAGCACTAAGCACAGAGGTTAGCAATTCCTATGTATCCACCACTCCGGTGAAAGCCCTCTGTTCCCACCATGTTCCCATCCACCAGTGGCTAACAGGAAACCCTGTATCAGGACAGGAGTCCAGTGTAGGAAGCCTGTCTGGCGCCACAAGACACAGGCAAGGTCGGGGTCACTCCTGCGCTGGGAGGCATTCGCTGGGCCGGGACAGAGTTGAGTCTCAAGGTGACTTTCTTTTGTTTCTGTGACAGGAATTCAAGTTCCTAAACTGGTCTTAAACTCACTATGCAGATGAGGATGGCCTTGAACTTCTGATCCTTCTGCCTCTACCTCCCAAACACTAAGATAATAAAAGGCATGCGCCACCACACCCAGTCTATGAAGTGCTGGGAACTTCATGAATGATAGGCAAGTGTTCTACCAATTGAGCTACACGCCCAGTTCTCAGAGTAGTTTCTGAGGCACTTCCAAGTCCCATCCTCAAACTGAGCACTCAGGAGTCTACAGCTGAAAGACTGGGAATTCATCTATCTTTATTAACAAGGGCAGGAGTGCCATCCTCGGCTACACACGAAGTTCAAGGCCAGCTCCGGCTGTATGAGACCCTGTTCTTAAAAAACAAACAAACAAACACACACCAGGTGTGGTGGCACGTGCCTTTAATTCCAGCAGAGGCAAGCAGATCTCTGAGTTCAAGGCCAGCCTGGTCTACAGAATAAGTTCCAGAACAGCCAATGAAAATTTCACAGAACCACAGAACGTTTGTGGGTATAAATCGAAACAGAAGTTAACACTAGGCTCCTCACTCACACTGGCTGCAAGTCTAGAGCCCACTGGCCTCTTGGAGCTGGTGGCTCTCGTGCTGGACAGGCCGGCAGGAGCCTGGGCCACTGTCGTAGAATTTTCCTGGTGGCGCAGCTCTCTGCCAGGGAGGTCTCGGATGGAACTCTCGGGGAGTCCTGCACTGAAGGGCATGTTTGCAGAGCTACCGCCAAGGTCTCAGGAGGCTCTCTCCATTCGCATACCTATCCCCTCAGCTTTGGGTCCCTGGGCCCCTGAGAAGCTTCTAGAAAGACAGTGACCAGCCCTGCTCACTCTCTTCTCCTCCCCGCTCCACCCAAGCCTCCCACGGCTCTAGTTCCAGGAGAGATTCAATCTCCTCCACCCCACCTAACATACTGGCCACTGATACGGAAGTACTTTATCTGTCCCTGGACTTTGGGCCTAGCTTTTGGCCCTTGCATACCTAGAGTGCTGATCCACCTATTTTCTCTCCTTTACAATCACCTGGGTGGCACCTATAAGTTCAAACAACCCTGTCCAGCTCCTTAGTCGCTTCTGAGCCTGGCTGTCCCCATCTGTGGTCATGGTCATGTATCTTCACCCTCTTTTAACACCCATGATTGCCTTCTGCGACCAGCCTGACCTCAGTTTCCCTACATATAATTTAACTCGAATATTTCCCTGACTCCAACCAGCCTAAGTTTCTTCCTTTTGGTCCTTTTTTCACGCACGGCCCACCTGTGGTCACAGTCCAGGATTGACCTACCCTGTACCACCCCCACCACAAGACCCAGGCACTCACACAGCTGGGACTCCGGGGACCTCATGACCTTGCGGGATTCCTGCCAGATGGTCTTGCAGTCTTCCTGTAGCTTGTAGAAGCGCTCTCTCCGCCATGAGCTGGACTTGACCTTCAGGAGCTGGCTGCCTTTCAGAAGGGCCTGGAGGTCCTGGTCATCCTGCAGCCCTGCGAGGGTCAGTGCTGGTGAGATGCCTCTCTTGTGGTCGGCCCCACACTGGCCTTGTCCCCTCTGCCCTCTCAGCCCTTTCACCACCCCTATCCTTTTCAGGGGTATATACTTTTCCTCCTTCGATCCCGCCAGCCAACCCCAGACCCCCGCCTCCTTCAGGGAAGACTTCGACCTACCTAAGGTCATGCTTTGGCCCCAGCATGGTACTGCTTGAACCCAGGGCATTTGTGCATGGCATTTGACCATTGTGCTGCATTCTCTGCCCCAAGACCATACAGACACTGTGACTTGTCTAAAGTCTGAATGGGCACAGTTCAAATACCTGTGGTTCCTGGGGGACCTGGGAAATGGTCTGACTCAGAGTGAAACGAAGGGATCTGGGACTAAAAGATGAAGCAGACGGGAAGGCAAAGGGACCACGCAGCTGGAAACAAACCCAGGCTTCAGAGCCAAATAACCTCCCGTCTCCAATGGCTCCAACATTATCTGTACCTAGGTTCCAGCACACTTCCTGACCAGCTGTATGACCTGATGACTTCCTGATTTACTGCCATGGAATCCCTGGGCCTCCGCTCTCCCAGCCACCCTCTCCCTCTCCCCGTCTTTGCCCCCAGAAGAGAATGATGAGCCCACCATGGACTACGTTTAGCCTGCTGGGATGGCCCTGTCTTTCCTACCGGACCCCACCACCCAGTGTCCCGGGTCTGGGCTCCCTCAGGGAACAGCTGCTTTAAGAGAGAGCTCAGTGTTTTCAGAAGCCGAGACAGGGCCCGCCGGGAGGACAGAACTCTGCCTGCTTGTCTGGCTCCTGCCCAGCTCTTGTGCCATTTTCAGAGATGCGGGCTTGACCTGAGTCATGGGCTCCCTTGACAGACCCAGACAGGAGGCATCAGAAGGGCACCAAGCCCCTCAGGAGTCAATGTCCGCAAACAGATCCTGTACTGATGATGATAAAGAAGATACCTACACACTGTACCCTGACAACCATCAGTGCAATACAGAAGTAGATACACCTACAAGGTGGTGTGTGCACATGTATGCACATGTGTTGATATCCCACACAGTTCAGCAGCCAGATCTATTCAAAGCCAATTGGATACCTAATTATGTCCCTAAAACTATATGACCCAACAGAAAAGTGGCATCAAAGACTCTAACTGTCCTGTTTGAGGGGCCAGAGCCTCGGCCTAGGCTGGAGGGACCTCACAAAGCCACAGATCCTACACCCATCATAGACACTCTTACTTTCTACACTTTTTTTTTTTTTTGTGGTTTTTCGAGATGGGTTTCTCTGTGTAGCTTTGCGCCTTTCCTGGATCTCACTCTGTAGACCAGGCTGGCCTCGAACTCACAGAGATCCACCTGCCTCTGCCTCCCGAGTGCTGGGATTAAAGGCGTGTGCCGCCACCACCGCCGCCGCCGCCGCCGCTGCCACCACCACCCGGCATACTTTCTACACATTATCTACAGGCCTATATGGACAGGCCGCACTCACTCACATCTCCCTTATCCCTCATCAGCGTCCCACTTCCTGTGAGGGCAGATCCCAGGGCTAACATCCTTCGGGAGCCTCCTTCTCTCCCTGGGCCTCTGCTCCCTCATCAGCCCTGTGGTAAGAAATGTCGCAGAAAGCATTATTGCCAGTCCTTTGAGATGACAGTCATGTCACATGCCACCACCTTTGTCCCATGTGTCTACCCATTGCTCGAAGATGCTCTACCTCAGTAAAAAGCAGCTTCCCTTCAGTGTGGGGAGACCTGGAAGGGGGCTCACACAGAATGTCCCATGTGAAGGGAAGGTTAGGGAGTTTCCAGACTGCCAGAGCAGAGGGCCACCTCTGGCCTCTGTTGGGAAGGTCCCACTGTCTCTTCTGAGGCTGAGGTACAAGTAGGAGGGAGCCCTCCTGACCATCTGGCAGCACCCTGCCCCCTGAGCTGGACACAGCTAAGCAAGCTCCTGCTAACAGCTCAGATGGGAATGGGGGCTTCTGGGAAGTGGAAGGCAAGCCCCTACCTACCCTGCTGTTTTGGAAAACATCATAAAGGGATGACAAGTTCATCCTGTCAGGAGCCACCAGTTGTGGCCCGGTCTGTGAGGTCAGGCAGTGATAAGCTCCTGCTGCTGTCCTGGCTTCCTGGAGGTAGATTTGAGTCCCAAGTGGACCTAGATAACTCCAGCAGGGTGACAGCTACCACCCTCCAGGAACTGGGAAATCTGGGCAGGGACCTCCATCGGGTGGGAAGGGTTTCCTGGTTCTGAGGCCTCTGGGTGGCCTACCACAGGACCCTTGTTCTCTTATCATGCACAATGTCTGTGGAAGCCCTCGCCCAGCTCCACTCAGCCTTGGAAGGGCGGGTGGGTCAAGAGCTAAGGGGTTTCGCCAATCGTTTCCAGGCTAGCTGCTCACAGGGAAGCAACTATTTAGAGGACATGGAAGGCACTCCAGGTACCGGTAAGAATGCCGGACATTCTGTCCATGTTCCCAGTGTGATGCATGATGACGGTGCCGGGCCTGGAACCCACATCGATACACAGCTACACTGAGATCCACCGCCCCATCACAACCTCGCACCCAGGGACAGTGCCCCCCAAACTACCTGTGTCTCGTGGAGTGGGTATTACTCTTTTTCACACACAGGCACACTACATACAGTGCAGGAATGCTGTCACCGTAATAACAGTAGCAGCCGTAATGATAGCT